TACTTTATCCAGCAAGACTGACATTCAAAATGGATGTAGAGATAAAGAGCTTCCAAGACTGGCAAGGTTAAAAAGAGTGTGTGACCACCAAGGTGGCACTCCAAGAAATACTCTATAAAAGAAGAAAACAAAAACAAGAATACCATTGAACAGAAATTTATGGAGACAATCTATAGAAAGAAGGACTTCACAGGTAACACGATGTCAATAAAAACATATCTCTCAATAATCACTCTCAACGTGAATGACCTAAATGCACCCACAAAATGGCACATGGTTGCAGATTGGATAAAACGACAGGACCCATCCATATGTTGTCTACAAGAGACCCATTTTGAACCTAAGGATACACCCAGACTGAAAGTGAAGGGATGGAGAAGCATCTTTCACGCCAATGGGCCTCACAAAAAGGCTGGGGTAGCAATTCTCATATCAGAAATTAGATTTTAAACTAAAGACTATAGTCAGAGATACAGAAGGACACTACATCATTCTTAAAGGGTCTATCCACTAAGAAGATCTAACAATTGTAAATATTTATGCCCCCAGTATGGGAGCAGCCAACTACATAAGACAACTGTTAATCAAAATAAAGAGTTGTATCAATATCAATACATTAATTGTAGGGGATCTTAACATGCCACTCTCAGTAATAGACAGATCATCCAAGCAGAATATCAATAAAGAAACAAGAGCATTGAATGACACGTTGGAGCAGATGGGCCTCATAGATACAGAACATTCCTCCCTAAAACAACAAAATACTCATTCTTCTCGAGTGCACATGGGACCTTCTCCAGAATAGACCACATACTGGGTCACAAATCAGGGCTCAACCGATACCAAAAGACTGAGATTATTCCCTGCATATTCGCAGATCACAATGCTTTGAAACTAGAGCTCAACCACAAGGAAAAGTACGGAAGGGATTCAAACACCTGGAAGCTAAAGACCACCTTGCTTAAGAATGTTTGGATCAACCAGGAAATCAAAAAAGAACTTAAACAATTCATGGAAACCAATAAGAATGAAGACACTTCAGTTCAAAACCTATGCAATACAGTAAAGGCAGTCCTAAGGGCAGAACACATAGCCATCCAAGCTTCCTTCAAAAAAATAGAAAAATCCAGATCACACCAGCTGTCTTTACACCTTAAAGAACCAGAGAATCAACAACAAATTAAGCCAACTCCACACACGAGGGAAATAATCATTTCAGAGCAGAGTTCAATGAGTTAGAAACTAGAGATACAGTAGAACCTATCAATAAAACTAGAAGCTGGTTTTTTGAAAGAATCAATAAGATCAACAATCCATTGGCCAAACCAATCCAAAAGAAAAGAGAAAAGACCCAAATTAATAAAATCATGAATGAAAAGGGAGAGATCACAACTAACACCAGGGAATTAGAAACATTCATCAGAAATTATTATCAAGTTACATGCCAATAAGTTAAGCAACCTAGATGAAATGGATGCATTTCTGAAAAACTACAAACTTCCAAAACTGAATCAGGAAGAAATTGACCACCTGAATAGACCAATATCTAGTAATGAGATTGAAGCAGTGGTTAAAAACCTCCCATGAAGACAAGAGCCTAGGACCTGACAGAGTTCCCAGGGAATTCTACCAAACATTCTAAGGAGAAATAAAACCCATTTTCCTGAAGCTGGTTCAAAAAAATGAAGCAGAAGGAATACTTCCAGACTCTTTTTATGAAGCCAGCATTACCTTGATCCCCAAACCAGGCAAAGACCCCATCAAAAAGGAGAATTTCAGACCAGTATTCATGATGACTATGGATGCTAAGATTCTCAACAAGATCATAACTAGTAGGATCCAACAGTACATTAAAAAGATTATCCACCATGACCAGGTGGAATTTATCCCTGGGTTGCAAGGATGGTTCAACATTTGCAAATCAATCAATGTGATAGAACAAATCAATAAGAGAAAAGAGAAGAACCACATGGTCCTCTCAATTGATGCAGAGAAAGCATTTGACAAAATCCAGCATCCGTTCCTGATTAAAGCTCTTCAAAGTATAGGGATAGAGGGAACATTCCTCAACTTCATAAAATCTACCTATGAAAAACCCACAGCAAATACCATCCTCAATGGGAAAAAGCTGACAGCTTTCCCTTTGAGATTAGGAACACAACAAGAATGCCCACTCTCACCACTCTTGTTCAACATAGTATTAGAAGTCCTAGCAACAGCAATCAGACAACAAAGAGAAATAAAAAGTTTTCAACCCTGCAATGAAGAAGTCAAACTCTCTCTCTTCACAGATGACATGATACTTTACCTTGAAAACCCAAAAGACTTCACCCCCAAACCACTAGAACTCATACAGCAATTCAGTAATGTGGCAGGATACAAAATGAATGTAAAGAAATCAGTTGCTTTCTTATACACTAACAACAAAAATACAGAAAAGGAAATTAGAGAAACGATTCCATTTACTATAGCACCAAGAACCACAAGATACCTGGGAATAAACCTAGTCAAAGAGGTAAAGGATCTGTACTCAAGGAACTACAGAACACTCACGAAAGAAATTGAAGAAGACAGGAAACGATGGAAGACCATTCCATGCTCATGGATCAGAAAAATAAACATTACTAAAATGTGTATACTGCCTAGAACAATCTATACTTTCAATGCCACTCTGATCAAAATTCCACTGGCATTTTCCAAAGAGTTGGAGCAAACAATCCTAAAATTTGTATGGAACCAGAAGAAACCCTGAATTACTAAGGAAATTTTGAAAAAGAAAAAAACAAAACTGGGGGCATCACGTTGCCTGATTTCAAGCTTTACTACAAAGCGGTGATCACCAAGACAGCATGGTACTGGTACAATAACAGACACAAAGGCCACTGGAACAGAGTAGAGAGCCCACATATGGACCCTCAACTCTATGGTCAAATAATATTCGACAAAGCTGGAAAAAAATATACAGTGGAAAAAAGACAGTCTCTTCAATAAATGGTGCTGGGAAAATTGGACAGCTATGTGTAGAAGAATGAAACTCAGCCATTGTCTTACACCATACACAAAGGTAAACTTGAAATGGATAAAAGACCTCAATATGAGGCAGGAATCCATCAGAATCCTAGAGGAGAACATAGGCAATAACCTCTTCGATATCAGCCACAGCAACTTCTTTCAAGATATGTCTCCAAAGGCAAAGGAAACAAAAATGAAAATGAATTTTTGGGATTTCATCAAGATCAAAAGCTTCTGCACAGCAAAGGGAACTGTCAACAAAACAAAGAGGCAACCCATGGTGTGGGAGATGATATTCGCAAATGACAATACAGACAAAGGGCTGCTATCCAGGATCTATAAAGAACTTCTCAAACTCAACACACACAAAACAGATAATCATGTCAAAGAATGGGCAGAAGACATGAACAGATACTTCTCCAATGAAGACATACAAATGGCTAACAGACACATGAAAAAATGTTCATCATCACTGGCCATCAGGGAAATCAAATCAAAACAACATTGAGATACCACCTTACACCAGTTAGAATGGCCAACATTAACAACAGTAAACAACGTGTTTTGGAGCGATTGTAGAGAAAGGGGAAACCTCTTGCACTTTTGGTGGGGATGCAAGTTGGTGCAGCCACTTTGGAGAACAGTGTGGAGATTCCTTAATAAATTAAAAATAGATATTCCTTATGAGCCTGCAATTGCACTACTGGGTATTTACCCCAAAGATACAGAGGTAGTGAAAAGAAGGGCCATCTGTACCCCAATGTTCATAGCAGCAATGGCCACAGTCGCCGAAATGTGGAAAGAACCAAGATGCCCTTCATCAACTGACAAATGGATAAGGAAGATATGGTCCATATACACTATGGAGTATTATGCCTCCATCAGAAAGGATGAATACCCAACTTTTGTATCAACATGGACGGGACTGGAAGAGATTGTGCTGAGTGAAATACATCAAGCAGAGTCAATTATCATGTGGTTTCATTTATTTGTGGACCATAAGGAATAACACAGAGGACATAAGGAGATGGAGAGAAGAAGGAAGTTGGAGGACATTGGAGGTGGAGATAAACCATGAGAGACTGTGGACTCTGAGAAACAATCTGAGGGTTTTGGAGGGGAGAATGTGGAGGTTGGGTGAGCCTGGTAGTGGGTATTTTGGAGGGCATGTATTGCATGGAGCACTGGGTGTGGTGCATAAACAATGAATTCTGGAACACTGAAAAGATTAAAAAAAAAAAAGAAACATTGTACTCATTTTTTTTTATGTAATAAAGATAGGGAAATGAAGGGAAGGGAGAGAGGAATAGGGAGTCTGGGGAAGGGGCGTGTGGGGGAGAGGACCAGGAAAGAAAGGAGGGAAGAAAAGAGGAAGATAGGAAATGAAGATGATGGATGGAGGTAGGGGAGTGGGACAGAGAAAGAAAAGAAGGAAGAAATGCAGCCAGAGCATGGAAGTTGTTTAGATCAAAATTAAATAGCAAATTAATGAAAGAGTTCGGACTAAAATTTCTTATGATCTGATTCCTGGTATGAAACTGTCACAGTACCTTCCACCCCACCTCCACCAGAAGTTTACAGAAATTCTCACAGAATATCAGAATTGAAAACATAAGTATACCTCCTGGACCTCCCTCCCAGTGCAAGCACTGTACCTATACAATCTCTACATAGTATGGGACTACAGAGGCAAGTCCACCCTCTACCTATATGAGAATTCCCCTGATGTTGGGCAGCATCCTTACTTCTTTCCTTTAGTTTCAGAAAAAGAACTTCCTCAGCTCTTTACTTTCTGTCTGCAGCTTAGAGAAAAATCCAAATAACTGGAACAGAGTGCACATTGAAAAAAGAGAAGACAAAGCTGTTGTTGAAAACCTCCCATTTACCCTCAAGATGTCTTCTTTTCTTTTTTTTTCACCAGCCCCCCATTATCTAACACCATATCCAACAAAGCCTCCCAGCCTAGGGCTAGCTGTTAAGGCACTTACCAGGGTTGTCAGGCTGCATGATGGCCATGACAAAGGTATGAGGAAAGAGCATGGCTGCACTCTTCCTCATGCCCTGAAGCTTCACAGTGTTGCCCTGGAACATGACCCCATGCACATCAGTTTCTGTGCCCAGGCCAAGCAGGTGCCAGACCACTGTGTCACCCTTGCACATGTCCAGGTTGGGCAAGTTAGAGAACAGAAACCCATTAATGGCTGAAAAAGAAAACATAAGACAACAGGAACATGAGACCAGACTACTCAGGCACTGACCTACAGCATAACATCAGCTCTATACTACGGTTTCCCCACAATTTGAAATTTCTGAGTCATCTTAAACTCTCCTGCCTTCTTCCCTAAGCCATTCTAGTTGTGCTTATAAAGATCTGCCTTTTGGGGATGAGGGATGTTTCCTCTTCCTAGAATAAATTTTCCCTCGGGTCCCTCTACAGAGAACTATTACTCATCCTTCACGTCTGTGTTCAAATGTCACCTCCCCTGTGAAGTAGAGTTATTTCTCTCTCTCTCCTACTCTGTCATTTCCATGAAACTCCCCCCCCACACACAAAATTCTTCCATATCACTTACCACAGAGCACAAAGTAAATCCAATGATTTACTTACAAATTTATCTCCCACACAAGATTGACCTAGCAGGAATCACATTACATTATTTTTTTCTGTATCAGTGTGACCACCTAATCACCTGGCATGTTGCCTGGTACTACTTAGGTGGTCCCTGAGTTCAAATTGAAATGAACTTAGTTCACAGGCTTGGTTTACTTTTTTCAGGTGATATAACTGATTATGGGAACCAAAAGATGGAGTCATAAGACAACATACTCATTCATGACTCCCTCCCATCTTCCATACTCCTCTTGAAAATACAGGGAGGCCTGCTTTAATTTGATCCCTTTTCAATGTTCCCTTCCTCTGGAACCACTTTTAATAAGTAACCTTACTTGGTAATCCCCATAGATGCTGATGATAACATTGCTAATCTCCTGATTCTGTTTCCTTTTCCTGTAATTTCTAATTGCAGATCTACTTAGCCTTTGAACCCTGGCTCAAACACTCCTTTATTCCAGGAATCCTTTAATTGGATTCTCCTTCATTAATGTTCTCCTCCTATGAACTCCATGCCACTTGAAAGCTGTTTCACACAATGTGTGAAATTATAATTATTACTTAATTATAGTTGATCTTGGCTTGTTCTATAATTTTTTCATGAGTGTTATTAGTCTTATTTTATTGCAAATGCTGGGAACTTCTTGCAAACTGGGACCATGCTTCCCATTCACTCACTCACCCACCTACCTACCTACCCATTAATTTGGTAGTTCACTTGTTCAATAAACATTTAGTATGTATTGGAAAGTGTAGATAATGCAGTCATAAGCAACAAACAATACTCACTTTTTAAGGAAACTACACTCTAGTATGTCAAAAGCTGTATAACAAATAACTATATAGAACATGCTATTAAAATATTCTGATAAAATAAATGATAAAATGCAATAGGGGTTCAGAAGAGGATGTCATCATCCTGGGATTGAGTGATTAAAAACAATGGTTACATGGATGAAGTAGCTTTTGAGTAGGACCTTAGAGAATGGAAATAATTTCCACAGGCTAAGGGCAAAAATGTAAAGAGAGGCATTTCAACTTGTAGGCAAAGCATTGTAAAGGCATCAAGTTAGAAAAGTACAAGATCTGTATATATTGAAAAAAAAAATAGCCCAATTTGGCTGGAGTATAGAGTTGAGAACCATGGATAGTGGTCAATAAAGGAGAAGAAGATAAGATTGGAAAAAGCATCATTCCAGCTTTCTCTCCTCACTCTCTAGTGTATTCATGGTTTGCAATCCTCATTTCACAACGCATTTTTCCAGTGTTCCCCATACTGTGTAACACAGGACATAGCACATCCAAATTCTAAACCTAAGAACTGTTGCTTTAGATTCAATTCTTCAATCCAGCTCATGTTTTGGGTAGAGCTGACCAATGGGATCAGTGCTTTCAAGGATGGGACATGATTAAGTTTAGGTTAGATTTTTACTTGTAACCTCTCAACTGTAGCTCAGGGCAAAAGCACTCCCCATACCATGCATCCGATTGGAGTCTTGGAAACCCTTGACATCCTCTGAGAGCAGTCGTGAATCCAACATAGCAGCTGCTTGATTGGCATTGCTGTACCAGCTCTTGTTCTCATCCAACACAGTAAAAAGGAGAAAAAATTCCTTATCCACCCCTTTCTGTAGGTCCGTGGAAGAGAAAGAATGACAATGGTTTCAGCAGCTGTGGGTTGTGCAACCCCAGACCCAATGAGCCCTGATTCATTCCCATTTCTTTTTCCAGACACAGAGACCAGCCCATACCTCTTGCCTAGAGCTGTAGTTGTTGCTAAGTAGGTTTTCCTCAGGTAATTTCAAATTGAAAGTGGGTGATACAGGTTAGAACAAAGTGACAAGACAGGAAGGGAAGAATGTATGCAAGGGGACAGGGAAGAAGCACAAGATGGGGATTATGGACAAGTACAGAGAGTGATAGAAGAGAGCTTGGAATCATCTGAGTAAAGGAGTGGGGAAAGGTGGTTAACAGATCAGGAAAGAACTCTAGTCAGAGGGGATTAGAAAATTAAAGTAAAGGACATATAATTGTTATTAATGCACTATTATGATCACTATTATCATTATTACTTCTAACATTTACTGAGTGTTTACTAGGTAATCCAGACACTGTGTTAAGCACTTCATATGGAATATTTTAATTAATCCTCATAGAAACCCAAGATGCTTTTTTTCATTGTTAACACTTTACTACAGATGAAGAAACTGAGGCAAAGAGAGGTTAAGTAATATACAGCTAGAATGATGAGCTGGACATGAAAGAACACAAGCAAATATTAAAAGAGATTTAAGAATTAGGGTCAAGTGTTAGAGAACACTGAGGCTTAAAAAAATGAAGAGATGAGAGGATACAAAACAGAAAGGAATAGAGACTAAGAAAAATTTTTGTGAGTGAAAGAATAGCATGAAAAAAAGCATGAGCTCACCAACTATTAATTTCTGATTAAATAGATTGGTTATTTCTTTTCTATTCCCACATCTCTAGAACACAGTTCCACTTTCAACTCCTATTTAGCAACACAGCCTTATTTTCCTCCAAGTAGGCTTTCCAGCCCAAAACCATGGTAATACCTGTTTGCCATCTGCACCCAACGCACCAGTCTTGCACACCAACAGGGGACCCACCAGACCAGAATTTGTGTCTCTTATGGGATCTGCAGCAGAGAAGTACATCCAGGTGAGACAGGCAGGATCCTGAGCAGTAGGGCCAGCATGGGAGGGGACTGTCCAGTGGTATGTTACTTTCTCAAAGGGCTTGGCCACCAATCCAGGGTAGGATGAGCCTGCAGGGGGTAGAAAATGGGACTCATCATCACAGGAGCTAGAGTGAGAAACATCAGCTCTAAAAAGTGGGGTAAATATTATAAACTAGAAGGCATTTTGGAGAAGTAGCAATATACAAATAGAATATTAAAAAGGATCCTGGATAGGAGTGAAGAGACAATAGTTAGTTTCTGGTTCTGACAATAGTTGTTACATAAACTGAGGGAATTTAAATTTCCCAGGTTTCAGTTTTCTAAGCTCAAAGGACTAAGGATTAAAAGGGCCTTTAAAACGTAATTAGAGAAGGAAGAGAAAAATGAAGTGGGGTGAATCAGAGGGGGTGAGGAACCATGATAGGCTATGGATTGCAAGAAACAAACTGAAGATTTTAGAGGGAAGGGGGGTGAGGGGATGGGTTAACCTGGTGATGGGTATTCAGAAGGGCATGTATTGCATGGAATACTGGGCGTTATACACAAACAATGAATCATGGAACACTACATCAAAAACTAATGATATACTGTATGGCAATTAATGTAACATAAAACAACAACAATAATAATAACAACACTTTGTAATACTCCTCACTTGAAAACATACATTTATCTGCTCTCGTATCCTTACCACTGTTTAAAAATATCCAGAGACAGGCAATTCACTACCCACCTTCATAGTTTGTTTCATCTTTGAATGGTTATGATTGAACACATTATCCTTTCCAGATGTATGTATGAGTAGATACAAATATGTATCTATGTGTAGATATATGAAAAACACAAGCACTACGGCTGTAATTCCTTAAATGGACACAAGTTATGGTCAAACAATACATAGAAATTTTATTTTAAAAATTTAAACCTAGTAGTGCAATTGTTGGGTCATTGGGTAGTTGTGTTTTTCACTTTTCAAGGAACCTCCATACTGTTTTCCAGAGTGGCTGCACCATTTTGCATTCTCACCAATAATGCAAGGTTCCCCTTTCTCCACATCATCACCAACATCTGTTGTTTCTCATGTTGTTGATTTTTAGGCATTCTGACAGGTGTAAGGTGATATCTCATTATAGTTTTGATTTGTGTTTCCATGATGATCAGTGATGTTGAGCATCTCTTCATGTGTCTGTTGGCCATCTGGATAGGTTCTTTGGAAGAATGTCTACTCATGAATACTAATTCAAAAGGATACATCCACACTGATGTTTGCAGCAGTATTATTTACTATAGCCAAATTATGGAAACAGCACAAGTGTCCATTGAATGAAGAATGGATAAGGAAGATGTGTTATTTATCTATATCTATCTATATCTATAAATATACATATGTATATATATATGTATATACACACAAAATGGAATATTATTAAGCCATAAAAAGAATGAAATCTTGTCATTTGCAATTCCTGGATTTAGAGAGTATTGTGCTAAGTGAAATCAGTCATCTAGAGAAAGACAAATACCACATGATTTCACTCTTATGTGTAACTTAATAAACACAATAAGTGAGCAAAGGGGGGAAAAAGAGAGAGATGCAAACCAAGAAACTTTACTTAGCTGTAGAGAACAAACTAATAGTTACAAGAGCAAGTGGTGGGATGGGTGAAATAAGTGATGGGGATTAAGGAGTGACCCTGTGGTGATGAGCACCAGTTGTATGGAATTTTTCAATTATTATATTGCATACCTGAAACTAGTATTACACAGTATGTTAACTAACTAGAATTTAAATAAAAACTTTAAAAATAAAATAACATTTTAAATCTATTAGTAATCAAAGAAGTATAAATGAAAATAGCTACATACTGAATATAATAAAAAACAAAAAAATAAAAACAGAAAAGTACAAACTGGTGAATTTGAGATGAAAAAATGTACAAGAGCTCTTGCTGAAAAAAAAAATAACTACATAACTTTTTTGCCTATCAGTTTAGCAAGACTTTACACATTATAGTAATCCATTCTGTTGAGAAGTGGCTCAAATGGCACCTACCCCTCTCACTCAACTATAGAAAGGGTGAGTTTAAATGAGAATACCCCTTTAGGAAAAAAATGTTAACAAAATGTATCAAAAGCCCTAAGAAGGTTCAGGCTCACAAGAAAATAAGATGTACAATAGACACTGAAAAAAATGACCAACCTAATACAAATTGAAACAATAGCGATTTTGGTTATTGTCTTGTTTGCCTACAAGATTGACATTTGACAAAGATGAAAATGGCTGCCTTGTGCTGCTACTGTGGATGCAAGTCCAAGATTATGGGACTGCAAATTTTTCCAGAGATCAACTTGGATGTTGGTATCAAAAATTTTAATGTGTGTACCTTCGGACACAGCAATTCAACATGTTAAAAATATATTATGAGGAAATATTCATTAAAGGGTGAAAAGAAACATACACAAAGATATTTGAAGTAAGAACTTATAACAAATGGTATAATTTAAGATGGCCTTAACATCCTTTCTTATTCTTTTATTATTCCCAACTTTTAAAAATTTCAAGCATACAAAAAACGTTAAAGGATAGATTGTACAATAATCATCCTACCAGCTGGAGTTGATTGTTAACACTTTTCCATCTTTAATTTATCTACATCTGTGTCTATGTATATCTACACACACAAACACACACACACACACACACACACACACAAGCTTTTGATTGTTCACTTTTGCTAAATCATTTGGAAGCATGATGACATCTTACTTCTAAGTAGATCAGTAACTTTATCCCATATTGTCTCAATAACATTACTACACCTAAAAAAAATCCTAATATCATCTAACATGTAGTCTATATCAGAAATTTTCCAATCATCTCCAGAATGTCTCTTTTTTAAAAAGATTTTACATATTCATTTTGAGAAAGAGAGAGAGGAGGGGTGGGAGGGAGAGGGACAAGCAGACTTCTCCACTCAGGAGTCCCAAAATGTCTCTTAAGGCTATTTCTTTTTTAATAACCAGGATCAGACAAAGTTCACTTTTTTGTGTTGTCTCTAATTTTTTCCCCTATAGCACTGAATTTTTGAAGTGATTAGACCAGTTGCTTTGTAGAATGTTCTTTTTTTCTAGATTTGTCTGTAACTTTATCCTTAATGCTTTTTGTATTTTTTCTATATTTTTGGCTTGGGATTAGCATGTATTAACATTCTCAGAGAAAACAATAACTTAATATCCAATAATCCAACTTCTAGGATTCTCTCCTGAGATGGTAATCCAAGTAAAATACAAGCATTTATTCATTTTAACACAATTTACAGCATTTAAAAATAATGAAAACAAGCTAAATGTTCAAATAACAGAAGATGAGGTAAATAAATTATGGCATATCCATGTAATAGGGTATTTTATAGTCAGTAGCAAGTTTATAACATTACGATGGGATGAGAAAATTGATACAGTAAAAACTTACTGTTTTACAGCAAGTAAAAACAGTATAGTATGATACAAACATACACAAACCACATGATCACAAAAATATCAAAATATATGTTTTCATAAGCACAGGAAAGCATTAGAAGGTGTAACAAAAAGTAATGGCAAACTTATCTATGAATGATATTTATTTTATAATTTTCCATTTTTTTCAAAATTCTGTAAAGCATATATGTTACTTTTATAATCAGATATATTTTAACTTTTTTTGTTTTAATTCCAGTGTAGTTAACATACGGTGTCATATTAGATTCAGGTGTCCAATATAGTAATCTGACAGTTTCATGTATCAACTGATGCTCATCAAGACAAGTGAGCTCCTTATTTTTCATCACTTATTTCACCTATCCCCCCACCCACCTGTCCTCTGATAACCATCATTTTGTTCTCAATAGTTAAGAATCTGTGTCAAAGTTTCTCTCTCTCCCTCTTTCTCCCCCTTTTCTTCTTTGCTTTGTTTTCTAAATTACACATGTGAGTGAAATCATGTGGTATTTGTCTTTCTCTGACTGACTTATTTCACTTAGCATTACACTCTCTAGCTCCATCCCTGTTGGTTCAAATCACAAGATGTCATTGTTTTTCATGGCTGAATAATATTCTAACACACGCACACACACACACACACACACACAAACACACATGCACACCACTTCTTTATCCATTCATCTATCGATGGGCACTTGATCTTCTTCCATAATTTGGCTATTGTAAATAATGTTGCTATAAATATAGGGGTGTGTGTGTGTCCCTTTGAATTAGTGCTTTTGGAATTTTTAAAAGTATTTATTTATTTATTCATTCATTCATTTTTATTGTTTATATTATAGTAATAATAGCTGCTTTTATTTAAATTCCAGTTAGTTAACATATGATATAATAATAGTTTCAGTTATACAACCCTTACATACCATACCCAGTGCTTATCACAACTGCACCCCTAAATCCCCATTGCCTATTTCCCCCATCTTGCCCCCCACCTCCCTTCTGGTGACCTTCAGTTTGGTCTTTTCCTCTATGGTCAGGAAGAAGACAGGTATGTTCACTCTTACCACTGTTATTTAACATAGTGCTGGAAGTCTTAGCCACAGCAATCAGACAACAAATATAAATAAAAAGCATCCAAATCAGCAATGAAGAAGAAAAACTTTCACTATTTGCAGATGACATGATACTCTATATAATGTTTTTGTATTTAGGGAATAGATACCCAGTAATGCAATTACTAGATCATAGGGTAATTCTACTTCTAACTTTTGAAGAAACTCCATACTGTTTCCATAGTGCCTTCACCAGTTTGCTTTCCCACCAGAGGGAAAGAAGTTTCCACTTTCTCCACACTCTTGCCAACACTTGTTGTTTCTTCTGTTGTTGATTTTAGCCATTCTGACAGGTATGAGGTGTATCTCATTGTAGTTTGATTTGCATTTCACCAATGAAGAGTGATGCTGAGCATCTTTTCATGTGTCTGTTGGCCATTGAGATGTCTTATTTGAACATGAAGAAAAATGTCTGTTCATGTCTTCTGCCCATTTTTTAATTGGATTACTTATTTTTTGAATGTTGAGTTATGTAAATTCTTTAGATATTTGGGATACTAACCCTAAAGGTCATATATGCAAAAACCCACGTGAACATCATACTCTGGGGAAAAACTGAAAGCTTTACACCTAAGGTCCAAAGGAAGACAAGCATGTCCACTCTAAGTACTTTTATTCAACATAGTACTGGAAGTCCTAGCCACAACAATTAGACCACAAACAGAAATACAAAGCACACAAATTTGCAAGGGATAAGTAAAACTTTCACTATTTGTAGATGACATGATACTTTATAATGAAAACTAAAAAGACTACATCAAAAAACTACTAGAACTGATAAATGAGTTCAGTAAAGTCATAGAAGTCAATGTGTAGAAATCTGGTGCATTTCTATACACTGATAATGAAGGAGCAGGAACAGAAATTAAGAAAATAATGCCATTTACAATTGCACCAAAATAATAAGAACCTAGAAATAAATCTAACCAAAGAGTTGAAAGAACTGTACTCTGAAAACTATAAAACACAGATGAAAGAAATTGAAGATGACACAAAGAAATGGAAAGGCATTCCATGTTCATGGATTGGAAGAACAAATATCATTAAAATGTCCATCGGGGAGCACCTGGGTGGCTCAGTGGGTTAAGCCTCTGCCTTTGGCTCAGGTCATGATCTCAGGGTCCTGGGATCGAGCCCCATATTGGGTTCTCTGCTCAGCGGGGAGCATGCTTTCCTCCCTCTCTCTCTGCCTGCCTCTCTGCCTACTTGTGATCTCTGTCTGTCAAATAAATAAATAAATAATAAAATTAAAAAAATGTCCATCAGGGATACTTGGGTGGCTTAGTTTGTTAAACATCTGACTTTGGCTCAGGTCATGATCTCAGGATCCTGGAATTGAGCCCGACATAAGGCTCCATGTTCAATGGGGAGTCTGCTTGTCCCTCTGCCACTCCCCCACTCATGCCTTCTCTCTCTCTCTCTCTCAAATAAATAAGTAAAATCTTTAAAAAATGGTACAACTTTAAAAAATAAATTAAAATGTTAATCAGAATATATTTAAATATATTTAAAAGAATGTGTCTCTTATTGAACCCAGTCCCGCTTCACTATAGCATCATGGATCCACTTAACAACATCCATGTAGGACAATCAATTTTGTCTCCTTCTCATTCCCTCCCCTATTTATTTTTCCTCTAGAGCTATCTGTTATTACCTGAAGCTCACATTAGTTGGAAACCCTGCTTGCTCACCATCATTGTACACAGTTCCCTCGTAGTCTTTCTCATAGAAGACTCCATGAGGCTGTATACTGAATGGCTGGGAAGCACGGTTGTAAAAGACCACCTGGATGGTGTCACCAACCTCAGCCCGGATCACTGGCCCTGGAATATGGGAAGGAGAGACAATAGGAATAAAAACAGAGATGACCAGGGGGATGGAAACAAAATAAGAAGGAAGGAAAGAAAGAGGAAGTGAAAGAGATTTTTAAAATCCTCTATTTTCAATAATAAGAATAATCCCTTCCTAGTGTATTACAATTTACAGTTATAAAAAAGCATTTTAAAATCGATTATCTCATTTTGATCTTCAAACATCATATACAGGGCAGGGGATATTTTCACTTTACAAATAAGGAAACTACAGCTCAAAGAGGTGGAATTGATCTTCAATTCAAATTCAAATAACTGATTAGGAACAGAATAAAGACTTAAAGCCAGGGCTTTCTCCCACCCCACTGTCAGATTCAATCCTATTTTCCCTACAGTTATTGTCCTTCTTCCTATAGCTGAATTTCCCGGTAGGAACCATCTCAATTTCTGATCTTGACTCAATCCTAAAATATTTCTGAGTATTTAGAATTATTATATCTATGTATAGTTCTGGAAATAGGTAGCTGAGCCATGATTCCTGGAGTTTTCTTTGTTCTGTGACCCACTACCTCTGACCTAGGTTGGGTCACCTTTGAGATTAACCGGATATATCAAGACAATACTCTGAGCATTTATGCTGGCTCAGACCCTCATTCAGTGTTTCTGGCTTGTTTTCTACTCCATTTCTACAGCTAATGCTACACCTCTGATCCAAGAAGCAAATGAAAATGACTCAATTTCTACACCGAATGCTACATCTCTGACCCAAGAAGCAAAAGAAAATGAAAACATAGCATAGCAAAACATGAGATGTCATGGAAAATGGGCTAAGGGAGAAATTTATGGCTATGAATATTCACGTTTAAAAAGATCTCAGATTAACAACTTAACTTTAAGACTTAAGGAATTAGGAAAAGAAATACAAATTAAACGCAAAGATAGAAGGAAGGAAATTGCAAAGACAAAGCATAGACAAATAAAATACAGAATAGAAAAATAATAAAGAAAATCAATGAAACCAAAAGTTGGCTCCCTGAAAACATCAACAAAATTGAAGAACTCTCAGTGAGATGGACTAAGGAAGAGTGGAGACTCAAATTACTAAAATAAAAAATGGAAAGGGAGGATATTACTACTAATTATACTGAAATATATATATATATGTATATATATACATATATAATATACAAACTATATTTATATATTGCATATATATGTATATGTATATATATTACACCAACAAATTGGATAACCTAGATGAAATGGACAGAATCCTAGAATAGAAAACCTACCAAGACTAAAGCATATAGAAATACAAAATCTGAATCTTACCATAACTAGCAAGGATATTTTTTTCTTTATTTTTATTTTTACTTTATCACACTGTAGTTAACATACAGTGTTATATTAGTTTCAGGTGTACAGTATAGTGATTCACCATTTCCATTCAACATCTGGAACTCATCACAAGGTGCACCCTCCTTAATCCCCACCACTTATTTCACCCACCCCCCACCATCCTCCCCTCTGGTAACTGTTAGTTGGTTTTCTATAGTTAAAAGTCAGCCTTGTGGTTTGCCTCTCTTTCTCTTACTTTTCTTTTACTCATTTATTTCTTAAATTCCTCATATGAGTGAAATCATATGGTATTTCTCTTTCTTTAATGACATTTTTCATTTAACATTATTCTCTCTAGCTCCAATCATGTTGCTGCAAAATGGCAAGATTTCTTTTTTTCTGGCTGAATAATATTCCATTGTTTATATATACAACTTCTTCAATTGATGGACACTTGGGCTGCTCCTGTATATATTTTGCTGCTATAAACTTATGGATATGTATATCCCTTTGAACTATTGCTGTTGTATTTTTTGGTAGATATTCAGTAGTAGGAATACTGGATTTTTGGATAGTTCTATTTATAACTTTTCACAGAAAATCAATAATGTCTTTTACAGTGTCTGCACCACTTTGCATTCCCACCAACAGTGCAAAAGGGGTTCCTTATCTCCAAATCCTCACCAACACTTCTTGCTTCTTGTGTTGTAGATTTCCATCATTCTGACAGATGTGAGGTGTTACCTCATTGTGGTTTTAATTTTATTTGCCTAATGATGAGTGATGTTGAGTATTTATTCATGTGTCTGTTGCTTATCTGGATTTCTGCTTTGGAGAAATGTCTGTTCATTTCTTCTACCCACTTTCTATTGAATTATTTGTTTTTTGAGTGTTGAGTTGTGTAAGTTCTTTATATATTTTGGATACTAACCCTTTATTGAATAAGTAATTTGCAAATATCTTCTTCCATTCTGCAGGTTGCCCTTTTAGTTTTGTTGACTGTTTGCTTCATTGTACAGAAGCTTTTTATTTTGGTGTAGTCCCAATAGTTTATTTTGCTTTCATCTCTCTTGCCTGAGGAGACATATTTAGAAAGAAGTTGCTACTAGCAATGTCAAAGAGGTCAATCCCTGTGCTCTCCTTTAAGATTTTTATGGTTCTAGGACTCACATGTATGTCTTTAATCCAGTTTGAGTTTATTTTTGTTTATGGTGTAAGAAAATAGTCTGGCTCCATTCTTTTGAATAGAGCTGACCAGTTTTGCTAACATTGTTTGTTGAAAATACTGTGTTTTTCAGTGGGGGCAGTCTTTTAAGCAAATGATGCTGTGAAAACTGGATTTCCATATGCAAAAGAATGAAGCAGAACTCCTATTTAATACCATATACAAAATTAACTCAAAATGCATCAAAGACCTGGAGAGAGGAGGAGTTAGAATGAAAGAAGAGTAGGGGACCCTAAGTTTGTCTGGTCCCTGGAATTCAGCTTGATAGTTGTCAAATCATTCTAAACACCTGCAAGATCTGAGAAAAGAAATGCTGCCATTCTGCCAATAGAAAAAACAACTACTTTTAGCAAAGTAGGAGGTGTGGAGACATGAATCTGGTGTGATATATTTGAGATGGCAGCCAAGAAGGAAACCAGCTTAAGGAGGGTAAACCAAAGTACTAGAAGCAGCAGAGTGCAAAATCGGAACTTTAAAAGTCTAGTATTGTGGAGGACATCCCTGACTTAAAGCTCAAGTGGCAAAGTGGGGTGGAATCCTAGGTGGTGCAGTATAGTCTCTGGGTACTAATGGTTACAAGAAGAATGGGGATGTCTGTGTGCAGCAGATTTCCCAGACATCAGAGTGGGGAAACTGGCTGAGGACCGTGAGTCTTGGCACAGGCTTTTTGCTTGGTGTTGCCATAAACTGTGAACCACCTCATGGTGGTGCAACTGCTCTTTGGCAGGGGCCCAGGAAAAGGCAGAAGTAAAGGCAAGACCCCATCTCTCCCCTGGGAAGAACAGCATGGATCTGCACAACAAGAGTCCATAAAATTTGGATACTTGAAACTCAGTTATATGACTCAGATAAAAACAGTCACAGGCTGGGTGAACACAGAGTTCAGACAGAAACCAGAGAGACAAGAGTGATTGCTTCTTTGTGAGGGCTCACTGAAGAGTTGGGGGAGGGGGACAGACTTTCAGTTCTGGAGCTAGAGAGTAGGGCACCAGCATTTTAATCTCACCCATCTTTGCTGAAAGACTTCAGGGAGCAAAACAGCACCACATAGTGGAATCTGTTGCCTCTTACACTAAGCCTGGCCCCCTGGCAAAAGAGGCACATTTCCACAACTGCAAGGGTATCTGGGAATCAGCTCAACAGGCACTTCCACCAGAAAACCAGCAGGAACAACTGGCTAACCCCAAGTTTACAGATCATAGAGAACTAAGAACTTCTTCTCTTGGGAAAAACAGTATAGAGCTTAAATTTTGTTTTAATTCTTTAGTCTTTCAGGTTTATTTTTTTGAACTATTATCTTATTTTTTCAATTCATATATATATACATTATATATATGTCATTGTATTGTATTGTATTATGTGTGTGTGTGTGTGTGTGTGTGTGTGTGTGTGTGTCTTTCTTTCCTGTTTTGGGATCTAGTTTCTTTTGTCAAGCAGAATAAAATACACCCAAGATCTAGTTTTTTTTGTTTTGTTCTATTTTCTTTCTTGTTTTATCTTGCTTTGTTTTCTTCTTCTTCTTCTTCTTCTTCTTCTTCTTCTTCTTCTTCTTCTTCTT